CCTGCCATGCTCCTGGTCTCTCCTCCTTTTATTTAGGTCATCAGGTGGTCCTCAAAACTCCCCTTCTCAGGAACAGTTCTAGTTGTATCTGTCTCCTGATTTAAAAATAAATCCTTAAATGCTTTCTATTACCTACTAGCAAAAGGCTAGCTCTTACTCATCTTTGTACTTTTAGGACCTAGCATAGACCTGAAATATAGCATCAACTATGATGATGAATAGTTGTCAAAGGAACTAAATTACATTAAGTAAGGTAATGCATACATGGCTTTAGTAAGCCACTTGGCACTAGTGCACAATAAATGTTCATTTTTAAGTCACTTTCCCTTTACACCTGGCCTGAAGTAACCTTTCCTACCTAATTTCCTACCACTGGCTTTAAGCATCACTGGCCCGTATGATTTCATGTGTATAACACACATTTCTGTACCCATAAAGCCTTCATCATGCTGTCGTTTCTTTCTATAGTGCAATCCCCTTCCCTAAATCCATTATTCTTATTGAAATCTAGAAAAAAGAAGACATATTCCTGGTGAATTTGGTTCCAACCTCATATATGACAAATCATGTCTTTTTATGCTTTAATAATTTGGTGTGGGCATTTCTGATATCCTTCACGAAAAGAAACCAAACAACTTTTAGCAATTATATTAATTTAACTACAGTTGTATGCTCTTTCCTGTTGGCAAAGCTCTTTAAAACATACTTATGTTTGTTTTATAGTTTTTACTAATTTAATTTTTGGTAGCATGTACATGAGAGAGAGAGAGAAGCACCCTTGATAGGTTCTTAACATGCCATGACTCCCCTTCCTGGTTCTTGATCTTGGGCACATGTGCATATGTCCAGTGTGTTTTCAGACCAACCCAGGAATTTGAACCTGTGGTTGACCATGTGGCCTCCTATGCTACAGTTCAGTTTTCTACCAACTATGCCACCAGGCTGAGCCACTCCATTTATTAATATAAATATTGCTTTTTTCTAGTACTCAAAATCACTTGAAAGACTGAGACTGTAACACTTTTGAATTTGAATGGATGACTAATTTTTAGATATAGGTATCCAAGTTAGTTATTTTATTTCATTGTATTGTATCATAAAGAAGTCTAAATTCCATTTTAGTAAGCAGTGTAATCAGTCAAAGGGTGGATAATTGACTTTATTTATCTTAGGAAAACTTAGCCCCCTATTGACACTTGGAATTCTCCTAGCCACTTCCACAGGATTTTTATAATGTGAATGCCAGGAACAGTGCTGTTGATATGAATATTAGGGCCAGGAACAGAAGTCACTGGAGGAGTCTGTGGAGGAATAAACAGAGACACTCGTGCAATGTTGGATATTTCTGATTTCAGGTCGACCTTATCAATAGCCTGAATGGCAATAAAGAGGTCCGTGCCATTTTCAAAAGTGATGTTTTCCGGTTTAAACACAAAGACTTCCTCAGAGTTGGCTTCTTGTGGGATGAGATCTGTAGTGCTCACCTGAAGAGAATCATCAAACTTGTCTCTGAGATCAAGAATATTGTTATTTATTCGAATGATGTACTTGCGAGCTAAAAAAAGAAAAAGAGAAAGGATATGACTTGTAATTCTCAGATCTTAAGAAAATGTTCAAAGCCTCTTAGAAATTATATCACCATTACATAAAGTTCCAACAAATGGATGGGATCAATATGTCCATATTTAGCAGGGTTACTATTTCTTTTATAATATTATTGGAATATCTTGACAGAGTGATAAATGAAAAACTGAATTGAGAATTGACTTAAAGCCTTGGCCTGTATTTGATGGCACAGTACTTGGCTGAGAGAAGAAATAGTTGATTGCTCATTATTTTACTCTTTTATTTTTTTGTTAAAGAAGGAGGGTTCATGCGCTTGCCAGACAGAGACAGAAAGAGGGAAAGTGAGAAATCACCTCCCCAGGGAGGTAGCCATGCCACAGTCCCTTCTCTTCCATTCTCTTCCTGGGCATGCACACATACATGCCTGGTGTGATCCTCAAGCCACTAGGTCCAGCACTTGAACTATGACTGACCATGTGAGAGCCCTCTGCTTTAACCACCACACCATCTGCTGGTCCCATTATTTTATTGTTTATAGAAGAGTTTTTGGTACTGGTGCATCTCAAACTTTAATATGTGTTCAAATCACCCAGGAATCTTAAAATATAGATTCTGGGGACCAGCAGTTAGCGTAATGGCTATGTCACTGAACTCCCATGTGGCTGACTGCAGTTTGAGTCCCGAACCCGGTGGCTTAAACTCACTCCAGGCGTGTGTGCGTGCATGCCCAAGATCCCGAGAAGAGAACGGAGGAGAAGGGATTGCGGTGTGGCCATCCCCCCAGGGGGTGATTTCTCACTTTCTGTCTCTCTGTCTCTCTCTGTCTTTCTGGGGAGCGCATGCACCCTGTAGCAAAAACTTCTCCAAAAAAAAAAAAAAAACCCAAAAAAACCCAAAAAAAACCAAACAGATTCTGGTTTAGTGAACCTGGGCCTGAGATTTGGCATCTCTAATAAGCATTCATGCTATGACCTTGCTGCAGTTTGCGATTCATACTTTGAGAAACAAAATTTGGTAGGACCTGAGGTTGTTTTCAAAAGACAACTCTATTCTGTAGGTATGTATGCTCACATCCCGGCCTTCCCAGGAGTCACTACTGAAAATGGGGTTTATTAAAGGAAAAAACTGAGATGTGCCTTTCAGTGCTGAATCTGCTTACGCCTTTTCAGATTTTAACCCTCTCTTATTTAAAAACCGTTATGTTTCATTTCAGGGGACATTCCAGATCCCGTCTGCCTTCTGCCTCCCTCGTGCATCACAACCCACCAGCCTTTGCTGGCACAGAGGGACTTGGTGCCTTTTCTGTACCTCTGCTTGGCTGGTGAACTCCTCTACAGGGCCCACACCATGTTCAGCTTACCTGTCCCATGATCATAATCATCTCCAGGAGCTGTCCACGTCAGATTAATGAGATTGCTTTCTTCGAGTTTCGCCTTCAGGTCAGTGATCTGACAAGGTGGGAAGAGATCAGGTATGGGAGCCTTTGGGACATCGGAGACCACAAATGAACCTCCTGAGGACGTTCTGCTGAAACACTGTTGCTTGTCTTGAGAGTTCTTACTAATGTCAGGTCTTGGTGGATTCCATTTTATTTGACCTGCATTAAAAAAAAAAATCCACTAAAATACGGTATCATATTCTTCCAACTCTTCCCCTTCCTCTTCTTTTGTCCCAAACACAAAATACATCTTAAGTGTTTAGTGACAAGACCCCAAATCAGGTTGCATCAGAGGGAAAAAGACAGAATCACAGATTTTTATCACACAAATGCTTCCTGGGTATTTAGTAGAATAACCTTTCGGACATTTGTCCTGGAATTTTTTCTTTTCCCCTCTTTTGCCTGTTTTGATATAGTTTTCTACAAGGTCAGTTAAAATACTGACTACCTCAAGAAATCTCTCCTACCTAGATAATTCTAGTTAATTTCATTATCTTTCCTATTTATTTGGTAACAAATCATCTGGTCCTTCAAAAATGCCCTAGTGTTTCATTCTATGTATTTTTATTCATTTTCTCCATGTGTGTGTTTTGTCTCTCTCATTAGACTATAGTTTTTTATAAAACGTTTTGTTGGGGTGCTACATTTTTATGCTTTTGCGAGACTCCTGATTACTCCATGAATGTATGAGACCTTGGTTCTTGTATCAGTCCTTGTTTCATTCACATTCTTGTTGAAGGATTGTATAAAAGTAATCCTGCAATTTAAAAAATACTACCCTGGCTACTCAATCAATGGGGTTCTCAGACTCTCTTTTTGATCAATATTACATGATACCCTAATATGGTATTACTCAGAATTTGCTTCATCATAAACTCTACTTTAGCTTTCAAAATTTTTGTCTGTAAAGACAGATTAATCTTCATACCTATTATCTTGTCTTAGGTGAAAATCAAGTTGGTGCTTTGGCAATTTAGGGTTAGTGTTTGATTGACCAGAAAAGGTTCCCTCTTCTGGTATTAAGGCTTAGCAAAAGAGGCGCGCAGAGACCGGGGGAGGCGGACCAGCTAGGACACGCGTCTTCCGAGGCTGACAGGGGCTTGGGACACGGGACTGCAGGTCCAGGGGCTGCAGCCGAACTCCGAAGGAGAGAAAGACAGAAGACAATGAAAGAAGTAGATAATCTTGAAAGTATAAAAGAAGAATGGGTTTGTGAAGCAGATTCTGACAACCAGCTTCTTAGTGAAAATTGACAAATGAATTGTGACTATTTTGTTGATAGCCTTTTTTGAGGAAGCACAGAAAGTTGGTGCCAAATGCTTGTCCCCCACAGAACAGAAAAAACAGGTCGATGTAAGTATAAAATTATGGAAAAAATGGATTCCCGGTCAATGGTGATTTCAGAAGGTACTCTGCTGGTGCAAGTCAGCAGTTTCTGAACTCTTTCAAAAATGGGGAATTACTCTCAGAATTAAAGGGAATTTTTGATAAAGAGGAGGTGGATGTTGAGTTTGAAGATAAGAAAAATGAAGTATGTATGTCTACAAAGCTTGTGTTTTGGCCCTTCTTAGGACAAGGTAACAGACTAGGAAGTGCCACACCGAAAATTGTTTCAAAAGCAAAGAGTATTGAAGTTGAAAATAAAAATAAGTTGTCTGCCATTTCACTGAATGACTTGGAACCCGTCACTGATGCACAGATTTGGCTAGCCAATGAGAAAAGGATTGTCCAGAAATTTAACACTTCTCATAGGGTAAGGCACATCAAAGACTTCATCGAAAAATATCAAAAATCTCAAAGAAGTCCTCCCTTTTCCTTGGCAACCCTCATGTGGCAGAGACCTTTTGTTTTAGGAAGGGATGGATTTCCTTTGTACCTCACTCTCAGTAATGACCAGGTACATAGAAAATAAGTATTTGTTGTCAGTAATGTTTACACAGCAGAATTAGAGCCTTTTCTCTAATATCATTCTTATTTTTTAAAAATGGAGGGATGATAACATCAATGAACTTATCTTTCAGATATAGAAAATAACTTACGATGACGGTTAATATATGTTCATCAATCTGTAAGGAAATATTTCATATAAGCCTATCATGATGCACTTTCATTTGCATGATTTTGATCAATATTTGATTCTCCCTAAATTTCTGTAAAAAGCCTCATACAGAATAGTTCTTATGTACCTCCTTTGTGGATTTTCTAGTTGATAATTATTTAACCAGAAGATGCATGGGAGGTTCTCCTGTGTGCACGTGTAGAATATATCTCAGTGAGAGGTTCCTAGAGAGAAAGCTCTGTCATGAGCAGTAACCTCCAATTTTTTGTCAGTGGAAACTTTCATTAATGTGAATAATGTTCTCAAAGGTTTTCTAAAATGAGAATGATAGATAAAGCTGTTTACCTGAAACTTTAGAAATTATAAAGTTGTTAGCTAAATGTGTAGAATATTTAACTAACAAGTATATAAAGTTTTGACTTTGGAAAACTTAAGTTGAATTTGTCATGGGATGGAAAATGCTAAAATAAGCAAGCATCTTAGGTGTGGAATACAATTTGACCTGGGACTAGTGGGTGGCGTGGTGGTTAGGGTGCTGGACTCCCACATGGTGGACTGTGGTTTCAGTCCCAGACCTGACAGCTTTGCTTTCTCACTTTTTCTCTGTCTCCCTCTGGTCAAATTAAAAGATAAATAATAATAACAAAAAAATTAAATATTTTTTAAAATTTGACCTAAAAAAAGTTAGAGCATAGGTTCCTAATACTAAGCCATGTACTTGCACTATTATATGGGCCAATAGTCCCCTCTAGACCCTGTTTCCTCTTCTGTAAAAAGGGTAAATAAAATCAACCAATGTACACAAAACAAAGAGGCTAGATGTAGCCACCAAACTAGTTCCCTCCTGTCTGGTTCCCCTAATTCAAAAAAGAAGAGCAAGTGAGAATAAAATAAACTGGAATATGAAGAAGCAATGGTGTGATTCTTTCTTTGGAAGAAATGGTGTCTTTCGAAGCGTTTTTTCTATGATCTTTCGTTGCATGAGGGGAATACCACATGTCTTAGAATCCTCCCTGTGGAGAGCAGTCAGTCCGAAAACGTGATGAAAACATGTGGCCCTAGTGCTTCCCTAAGTTGTTTTAGCAGCGCTATAGAGAAGCATCTACATATGAAAGCAGTATCTGTCTGTTGTCAATGCTTATTGTGTTGTCCTTGATCAGACTGTGTCTCAGAAAAAAGATTTGGTGCCAGTCATTTTTATATCTTCAGATGATTTACATTCAGAAACAACTGGCTTTATAGTTAATTCCTCCTCCCCTATTCTCTTTGTATATAAAGTGGCTGGGCGCCACTTTGTCAGGACCTGCTCGGCATCAACACGTTTTTTTGAGTGTGGAAGGCTGTGGATTAGAAATAGATAAAATAACAAACACACAAAGACATACGTGTATAAAAAAACAAATATTGGGTGGGCACAGCTTCTCTGACGTAGAGAAGTTGTTGTGACCAAAATCAGCCTCAAGTTTATCCTTTTAAAAGACAAAAATTTAAAAAAAAAGAGAAAATGAGATACAAAAAAAAGAGAGAAAGAAAAAAGTAAAATGCAAAAAAAAGAAGAGAAATTAAAATGTAAAGCCAGTTGTATTTAGTTATAAATTGTCTAAAAATGTAAAAATGACTGATGCCAAATCTTTTTTCTTTTTGAGAGACAATCTAATCAACAACAAAAAGATAACCATTGACCACAGACAAATACTACTTTTATGTATAGATACTTCTCAGTAGCCATACTAAAATAACTTACAAAACCACGTTTCTACATGTGTCTAAAGGCCACATGTTTTCAAACTGACTACTCTCCACACTCCCTTTACTAAACACACCCCCACAGAAGAGGACAGTTGGAAGCTCCATGGAGGATTGGACCTCCTTATTACACACTGGCATCTAGAGAAGACTGGTTCAGGGCAGAGTGGACATCAGTGGAAAACAAGTGCTGGAACCCAGCAATGTTCAGTTCTGCCTCGATTTCTCTAGTCCAAGGGAAGAACTGGTCACTAACAGTGGTGTGGGACTCTGTTTCATGGGCATAATTTTCCCATCTGCTAACGTGTGGATTCAATGTGCTGGTCCGTATTAGCTTCATCCATGACTCTCCCTAGTCTGAGCAGAACCGGCAACAACTTCATAGTCCTGTTTCTTCATTAGTTCTTCATAACCATCCTATGAATCTCATAAGATGATTTTACTTCCATTATTATCCCTTTTTTAAAATTGAGGCACAAAGAAATTTTATACTTTATTTGGTTGAGGGCTGGAATTTGAACCAAGGCAATCAAAGGCTATGTTCTATCTAGCACTTCTCAACTATTTTGCACCCTTAGAGAACAGAAGATGAATTCTGAAGACCGGTTTGACTGTCCTGTCTGGAGGGGTGCTACTGACACCTAGTGGGTAGAGGTTAGGGATGCTGCTAGACAACTCAATGCGCAGGAAAGCCCCACAACTAAGAATTATCGGGCCCAAAATGTCGAGAATGCCAAGGCTGAGAAACCTAATTAATCCTGCACCGTTCTCTCCCATAAGCTTAATGGTTTCCTTTTGGTCCCCAATTTTTTTACTCAAACTAGGGATGTTATTACAGATTACTTACCATTCTCAATCCAGCCAGGCATGTATATGGCTCCATTCTGCTGAGGTATCACATTCTTTCTGGCTGCATTAATTCCTCCCAAGGCCCACAGTTTTACACTGTATCTGCCATTTGTATCATAAGCTGTAAAATACCTTGAATAGACACCGTCATTCTTAGTAGCATCAGCACCTTGATAGGGAAATGAAGGAATTCATGAATATCCTAACAGTAATTGGACATTTGTATATTTCCAACTCACATGTGGGTTAAAACATTTCAGAGGAAAGAGAAATCCAGCATTATCTCCAAAACACCCTGAGGTTTACTACATTGAAGATGAGGCCTACTTCTGTGCTTCCCTGTGTATGTGTGTGTACGTGTATGCAGTATCATATGTGTATGTCTGTCTTCCATGTCGTCTGTCTCTTCCATGTCGTAATCAACGTAGCACAAGGCAACTAGTCATTAAGTATCTGTTGAACCGAATTGAATTGTTACATGTGACTGGGGAGGAAAAAACATTATATGATTATTTAATAAAATTCATGTCTCTTCCCAGGGTAGATTTAGAGAGGAAATATATTTACAGAATTCATTCTAATGTTACCTATATCACAGTAGGCAGACATGTTCCTTCTTTTTAAAATGTAGTTATATTTTTCTCACTTTTGCACTGTTATAGT